GGCGGCCGCTCTGCGGGCCCCCGGCCCTCCCGGCGGCAGCCGGAGCTCCTACAGCCCTGTGTGTGGTTTTGGACTAAGCAGCCAACCCAAAGTAATCCTCGTTCAGCGTAGCTCTCCGTAGCCGTTACTGATCAGCCGGCATCGGCTACCCAAAACAATAACGTCTTTAAGTCTCAGTGCTGGATTATTGACTCCACGGAGAGTCCTCCATCGAGGTTTCTAGGTTGTCCAATTTAGACAAAAGAGGGTTTTTTTGGTTATTAGCTTCATCCTTCTCCTCTCACAAACAAATTTATATATTGTCAGTCAAATGATAGCCAGCACTCTGGCAGGAACCTGCTCCACAATAACAAGTGGCCTAGTCATCTCTAAAACAACCCTCACAAACTGTTACCCAAAAAAGCACATTACGCCTCCAGACAGCCACTTCGTAACTACCCGTGTGACCAGGAGCAGAGACGTGGGGTGCAGCACAGAGCATGGACACACGACACGAGTGGGCACAACCTCAGCACTGGAGACTCCACAGCTACAAACCACTCGCCCATAGCTGGCTAAAGAAATGCAGCAGGTTAAAGGAGCCACACGAAACTGGTTTTAGCGATCACACAGAGAACAAAGTGGTACCTAACATGCATAAATGTCACGATATAGACAGTAAATTTGGATGTAACAGAGCTGCAGACCAACAAAGAATGATCGGGAGTGTAAAACCTTCTTAGCAAGCAAAAAATGACCCCACAGGGATCCTGGAGCAAGGAAGAAGAAACCACACACACGAACGTCAGGTTTGTCCCAGTGGAGCGCTCCACGTGCTGACAACTTGCTGTGACAGCAGCGCCCATACACCCCAGAATGAACCTGCCAACCTTCCAACCCAGGGGAGCCACAGAAGGGTGAGCAGGAAAAGCACCAGAAACCCAGCAGTGTGTATAACATTTTCACTGCACTGTCATTCTTTCTTTTTCTGTAGCAGTTAGATCTGTATTAATAATTATTAGATTCTTCACATTTCAACTATAGTAACAAGAAATTCTTGCGTTTACTTACATATAAGGCGTGCTTCCCCTTTGCCCTTAAACACGATTTTGAGCATAACACCTGGTGGCCCATGGCAACTATTCCTTACACGTTGAGTACGCGTAGCCATGAGTTCCAGCCAGGTCTATATGTACTCATTTTCTCATCAAACACTTTCCACAGAGCCTCTCCTACCAAGCCAACCATTCAGTATGCGCAGATCTCACTGGAGACAAATAGTGCAATGTCCAGTTTGTGCCATAAACTTCCCACATTTTTAATCCAGTAAGGCCAAAAGCATGGAACCCAAATTGGACATTTCCTCAAAACTCTGCAGCTTTTAGATCTAGTCCATTCTTTTTCTGGCAGATCAAGTGGTTACAATAGGGTACCTTAAGTATGCCAGAGAGGTGATTTTGAAGATGAATGGAAATCTTTTCACAGTGATAAACGCTCACTCTCACTGCAAGTTCAAGCAAGAACATCTATATCACTGTAACTTGGTAGCAGACTTCACACTTTTCTTTAAAACTATCTCAGTAGAAATACATTAGCCAGACTTCCTTGGGGTATTAGCCTTGCTTTATGTGTTTGCTACCCCCCTTATATTGCAGGGGGTTGGAGAGAGAGGGGAAATGGGACACAAGTGTCGGCAACCACAGCTTATTTGCCTTACAGAACAACTGCTTGTTGCTGACATTCTGATTCACTAAGTCACTGGCCTCAAGAATAATAATTCTGATGCAAATTAAATAGAAACTTTCATACTACATTTCTCTCTCTCATTCTATGTGTGTGCTCATTAGCAGGAAAAAAAAGAAGCGTTAAGTTTTCCTTCCATTTCTGTATCTATAACAATATAAAAGGCATGGAACCCTCTGATTAACACATGTATCTGCATTAGCTTGTTTTTCCTTATAAGCTTCAGCAGCGTTTCCTGCCCTTTCTCCCATTTCTCTGTTCTGTGCTGGTTTCCATAAGTATTCATGTCACAAAGACCATGCCCACAACAGCTGGGATAAACGTTAAGACTTTTCACTTTCAAAATGGTTAAGATATACCCATGTTCAAATGTTTCCCCACGCAGCAAGTCAGTAAGGAAAAAAAAACAACAGCCTTTTGCCGAGATGTAATCAATGTTTTGGTTTCTCACAAACAGAAGAGAAATTTCATTGTAAAAACCTCCCTAGAAATATGGAACTCTAACATGAAACCTAATGTTCTCCAACCGTTAAGAAAAATAGCACCTAAGTGTTTTAAATCTTATATTTGAGGCTGGGAGGAAGAAGGAGGAAATCTTTTTCTTGAATTCTACTCTACATGCAAACTCAGATTGTGTTTGCCTGTTGTTCTAACCACCCCACTGAGAATTTCCATCTCAGGAAGGATGAAAATATTGCACTTTCTGGTAAGGAACACAGAGGTTCAGAACACCACCAAGCTTCCTTTCCTTACAGTATTACATATATCTTATATTTATAATTAATACAAATGTAGCACTGTTGTTGTCTCACCTCTCAGATTAACAAGGCAGGCTGCAAATACAAAGAAATCCTGTCAGATATATGTACATAAAATTATGCATACCAAATTTATTTTGTCCCGGTAGGCTATCTTTTACAAATATTAAACACAATTAAACATTTAAAATTAATTATTCATCACAGGTGAGATTTTTAGGAAAAAAAAAACAGCAAAAAAACCCAGCATTTTTTTCCAGAATGAAAAGTAAACCTGGAGATTCTGAAAAAAAGAGTAATTAAAATCATAAAGCAAACGACTATGTCCTTTGAAATATTTATAATAGCATGTATGTTACAGCAATTTTGCATCCAATTTACTACATTTTATTTAATAACATTTAGTATTGTATTATAAATTGTGGGATTATGAGGCGTGTAGAATTTCTGAGGTTGTTTTTTCTTATGGATTTGTGGAAGCTTTGCTGATGTACTTCAGCTTGACAATCTGATGCGAGAGACAAAGCAACGTTTCGTCAACTGAAAATTGTCAGTAACTGGAATGGGGACAACTTTTTCACCTATGATTTTGGTCATAGTTAAGAGATCAACAGGACCATTCATATGGTAACTTTAAGACCTTACACCTTTTCATAGACTCAGTGTCACTATTTTAACCTTTTTCATTAAAGTGGCTAGAAGAAGTCAAAGAATCTGGATTCCCAATGGAGAAATAAGCTTGAAGTTATGGCAAGTGTTTGTATTCTACCAAGCATAAACTTCCACCATATATACAAACCCTACTTGTATTCCAGCTGTGCCATTTGGGCTAATGTGTTATTCACCCATCCCTTTACACAAACCAAGGGACAGCCAGCCATTCTAGCTCAGAACAAAATGCTCAGATTACCATGTCAGAGAAAAAGGGAACAGTGGGAGAAGTTCAGAGATGGATGGCAACAGCATCCACTTGAGACTGGCCAGGCTAGCATGTGGTTCAAGGGTGGTTTGCCCTTGTGCGCAGGCAACCCAGCAGCAATTCAGGATACTCCGATGGCTCTGTCATCTGTTGCTACAGAAGGATGATAATATGGGACAAAAGAGAAATTATGAACCAGACACAATGGCAATTACTGAGTTAGAGAACTTGACTGGAACTACTTTCTTATATTAGCCATCTGAAAAATGTTTAACCAATCCAAGAATGACAGTGTACTGGTAAGGCTTCTTGCAATGGATGAGGCAGAAAGGCCTTTTTGGCAGAGACAGGCCTGTTAATCGCATGAGCTCTGCTCCAGCTCTTCCTCAGGCTGCTGCAGTTTGACCTCTCTGTCCTACTCAGCAAGTTACATAAGCAGGGGCCTAACTTTAAGCTATGACTAATCCTGCGGAAATCAGCAAAACCAAATGAGTTCAGAATCCCACGATTACTTTTTGAATCACAACATGCATCTGGAAACAGTTTCTCAGCTTGCAGCTACTCAGGACAGTAATTCAAGGATGGTTCCATTCCATTAACATCACAATGTCCAGCTAATACCCTGGGAGTACCTCAATATTTGTCGAATGCTAGGCAGTGAGCTTGAGCATGGGAGCTCTGATAGTCTGCATTGCTCAGCTCTTAATTACACTCCCTTGTCCCATGTGGACCACTCTAAGTTGCTCTCCCCAGGAGAAATGTGCAGTAGCGGGGAAAGCCCTGGGCGCTGTAGACATGACTCGGTCAGTGACACGTGGCCTGGGACTTGCCCCATCTTGTTCAGAAGAATTGATAAAGTTGCAGTATCAGAGCACGCAGATGCTGTAAAAGCCTGACAACCAAACCACTGATGGAGATCAGCGCTCCAGTCAACCCTTGGGGTAGCCCACAGTGTAGTCTGAGTTTAGTCTCTCTCCTTCCTGGGTTAATGTGGAAAGCAGTTGCTCTTAATTAAAATTTGAGGACTCCATTTTGAGGTAAGTCTTAGGGCATTCAATCAAAGCTTTACAGAAAATTGGCCTGGGGCTAGCAGAGAGTCCCAGGGACAGAGTTCAACCAAGCAATTTCTCATGATAGGCACTGCTGTTACTAGATTACACATTCTTTAGAAAGGACCTGGAAAAACACTGAGCATGAAGTGATCAGTCATAGATTCTTAGAAAACTGTAAAGATGGATCAAAGACAATTCCTTTCCTATGGGGCAAATAATGCCTGCTTAACAGCTCCTCTCTGTCATCTGGCACAGAAATACTGAAAATACCTTATGTGGCATATTTTCTGGAGTTCATGATAGGATTGTCCAAGAGGCAGAGGATATACACTTAGAGGAGGGGCAAGCTCACAGGTATTTCACCATCTTTGGCTAAGCCATGGAGATCTATCA